GCGCGAAACAAAAACCTTTCCCACAGACGACGCCAACTGTTGATACGGCGGATTCCAAATAGAACGGGTCGAGCTGATTCACGCTTCCCAATTCGGTGTCCAAATGATCAAGCCCACTAGAAGACCTGCACATGAGTTCAACGGGGAACGGGAAATCCCCCAGTGAACCTTCCGACGAGCAAGTTAGAGGGAGAAACGGAATGTAGAGATGATTTAGAGATAGAAAAGTTTAACCTTCTTCTTGTCTTCGACGTCTGTTTATATCCTCCGGTAATCATTTCGTCGTCCTTTCTGACCTGTCACCTTAGCTGAAAGTCTACGCTCTAGCTTACCTTGTTCATGGTGAAGGCGTTCTGTCTCGATGGAGAGGGGTTATCGCAATAAATGCTGTAAGGGGCTTCATTAATGGCGATGTGCAGATCTTTGTCTGCTTATGTGGCTTGCTCTTCTCTTGCCATGTGTCTTGTTGCCATTGGTTCTTATTGCTACGTGGGGCTTCAGCAATGCTGGGTTTTAGTATTTGAGTTATGTATTGGGCCCTAAATGGTGGGCTATAATCTTTATGGGCTTACCCATGTCACTTTCCATGGACATGTTTCATTTTTTGTCCAATTTTACAATAATGTGATGTGCAAATATTTTCATAAAAAAATTACCTAACATAATTTCTCTTTTTTTTTGGTACAGATAGACGAACCGTTTGAATTCCGCTTCAATTTTTCCCTTCAGTATGGTTAGACACTCTCGTATGCCAATATGTATAGTTTATATTTGCTAATTAAGAAGTCCATTGCATATTATTGTGAACTGTTATTTTATTTAATTATTTTTGACTTGTTCTTCTTTGAATTACATTTAAGTCCGTTCAAAAAACTAAACAATGAAATACCAAAGTGGTAATGCTATAGACATAATAAGAATGTTGTTGTTTTATTTACAATTTTTTGGTTTGAATGATTTTTGCAAATTACAGATTATATTGAATAAATCGGATGGATTATTATAAATTACAAGTTTATTTTGTTGGATGTTGGCGATCAAATTTTGGTTTTGTTTTTCTAATTTTGGTGACCAATTGATTAGTCGGGAAAGATAAGTTATACTTTTGCTGACTAAATAAAATAGTCAGTGTATCGCTAAGCACATTTGGCGACTAAATAATTAGTCGTTAAAATTATTAATTTTGGCAACCAAAGGATTTGGTCTCGAATAGGTCTATTGCCGACTAAAGTTTCAGTTGCGCAAACATTTCTTTTGGCGACAAACATGTTTGGTCGTGGAATGTGACAATTGGCGACCAACAATTTGGTTGTGGAATCTGACAATTGGCGACCAAATTAAGAGGTCGTAGAATGTCACAATTGGTGACCAAAATTTTTGGTCGTAGAATGTCGCAATTGGCGACCAAAATTTTTTGGTCATGAAATGTCACAATTGGCGATCAAACTTTTTGGTCGTTGAATGTGATAATTGGCGACCAAACTTTTTGGTCATGGAATGTCACAATTGGCGACTAAGATATTTGGTTGGGAAAATATCACTTTTCGCGACCAAAGTGTTTTAGCGACAAAATGGATTAGTCACAGTAATGACATATTTAGCGACCAAAAATTTAGTCGGCAAATCTAACTTTTTCTGACCAACCAAAATTTTGGTCGCGAGTTACTTTTGCCGACCCTCAATTGGCGACCAAAGTAGCGACCAAAAAAATTAGTCGCGGATAACTTTTGCCGACTAAAAATAGGCTTTCAGCGACTAATTTTTTGGTCGGCAAAAAAGTGTTATTTCTTGTAGTGAATGGCAAACAAGTAAACTTTTAAACCCCCAAATCAATGAAATATAAAATACCCAAAATAAAAATGACTAATTGGTTTGAAAGAAAACTTCTAAGACTAAATAGAATAACTTTTCTTCAAATGAGATTTATGAGTAATTTTTCCAATTATATTAGGATCTTTTAATATTTTAATTCATATAATAACTTAACCTATTTTTGTCAGTAATTCAATAATTATATAAAAGAAAAATTATTGTCAGATATTTTATATTAGAATATATATTTTTATATTTTTTATTTTTGCATCTGCATATCATTTACATTAGTTTGAATCATTTTAACCCTACTTACAATTATACCAATTTTATAACCTTGTTGTATATTTTAAACTTCTGGGTGCTTGGTGTAATTTATCCAATAAACAGTTGTCCAAAATGAACAAACTAGTAATTTATCCAATAAACAGTTGTCCAAAATGAACAAACTAGTGAGCAATATTTGGCTGCAATTGGGTTTTCGTGTAATTAACTTCTTAAATATTAAGTTTTGTTTTGAATAAATTATACTTTTAACTCTAATAATTTGATTTAAATTTTACTTTAATCTTGCTTGTCTTAAATTGAACAATTACACTTTAATTATGTGTGGGTGTTTGGGGTTTGGTTTTTTGGTGACCTTTATGTTGACTTTTTTTTGTCCTAACTATAAAAAAAATCAAAAAATTTAAGTTTCTAAATTTTATTTAACGAGACAAATATGAATATTTTTTTAAAAAAAAACTTAAAATCTTTTTAAAAAAAAGAAGGGCAAATTACAAACACCCCCCTGAGGTTTGATGAAAATACAAATTCCCCCTTGAGGTTTGAGAAATTACATCCCACCCCTAAGGTTTATATTTCCATAACAAATTGCCCCCTGAGGTTTTTCTTTTCAAGAAGACAATATATATATATATATATAGCTTATTTTGGGATTTTTTTTTATTTTTTATATTTACTTACTCAAGACAGATCGAAAAAGTAAAAAGTTTTCATATAATTTATAAAAGAAAGTTACTAAAGGGAAACAAAAGATGTGACTTATATAGAAGTTCTCAAACATTGTCATTCTATTTAAGTTAAAAATTAAAATTAGTTTAATTCTACAATTCTAAAGTGGAGATTTACACTGCTAGAGCATATATCTATAGTTTTAGAGTGCAAATCTTGACTTGTTATGTCTAAAATATAAGTCTTGAGGGTTTTCTTATCCGATTTCGATATAGATTTTTTGATTTTCAACACTAACAATAGTTCCCTTATCTCTCAAACCCCTTCGCATATCATTGTGGGTGTATTTCATTATTAACACTAACACTAGTTATTGTATTCACTCATTTCCCCAATGTACTACGCATAATGAGAGTAAGGCAACCTTACTGTCTGTATATTCTATTGGGTAATGTAAACGTCGTTGGTATTGTGTCGTTGTTGAATGTTTTTTATCAATATTGATCGTGCTGGTGGTCTTTATTGAATAGTAACGGTAATGTCTCCGGTTGTAATGGTTATGTTTGCCATTTTGGGGTGATATATTCAACATGGTTGCGCCGTAACTCCGAAGATGTTTAGATTAGGCTGATGGTATGACAAATCCAATTGTTCAGAACTGGGTGAAAGTAATTGTAACGTCGATTAGGAAAATGATAGATGTTTAGCGGTAGTGCGAAGGTGTGTAATATTAGTTTATGCAATCATAGATTGTTTCTAGAAATGTTGTAGGTGGTTTTTCTGAAACATTTATCTTGAGAAAAAAAATCTTAGAACATCGCCAATGCTGGCAACCTATAACAGCACGATAGGCTTCCTAGACTAGCAAATACAAAACCCACAACCAATAAAACCACATCAACAAACTAACCAATTCCCCTATAAATCACTGAATCAAATATATAAAAACGGAAATGTGCAAATCCACATCATCACTATAATCCCCTTAATCCTATAAAAAAGGATAAAAATGTAAACTTGAACAATATCAAATCAAATAAAAAGATTCCTTCCTAACTAAATAGGACCAAACGGTTCATAAGAAAAAACACAGGACCAAATGGAACAACATTCCTCAGGTTGGGATTTATTGATAATTTTTCCTTTATTTAATTTTTATTTTTGTTTTATTTATTTAATTTTTTAAATTTTTTTTATAGATATCTTATTTTAAAATTTTGTTTATATTTTATTTAATTTCATTATTTAAATTTTAATAGATGTGTTATTTTATTTCATTCTTTAATTATTATTATTTAAAATAAATTTATTTAAAATTTTAATTAAAAAATAACATATATTTTTATTTATATATAATTTATTTAATTTTTTAAAAATAAATTTATTTAATTGTGCAAAAAATAAAATAAAATAAATTTTTATTTAATCTAGCTAAAAATAATTAAAATATTAAAGCTATGTTTAATATTGCTATTACTTAGTAAATAATTGAAAAGGATAAACTAGTCATTTGAGCATTTATCATTTTCTATAATATCCCAAACAAACATTGGATTAACTAAAAATAGTCCAATCCAGACATCTAATCCTATGACTAAACAAACATAGGATACAAATCCAGTCCAACCAAATAGTCCGGAGACAATGTATCCTAGGACTAATAGTATGATGGATTACAATTCCTCCTTATCCAGTCCGTTCAAACAAACACACCCAATGGTATTGACAGTCCGTCTCAGTGACCGGATTAGTGTAGTTTTGGGAGAGGTGAGATTGAAAAAATAATCTGAAAATTAGAGTGTATCTAGTTGTTTGGCTGATTGACTGAAATAGTTTTTTATTTTTTATTACACCCAAGTGCAGCATATTATTTGTAATTTTTTTTTATATTTTCTTTAATATAAAAATATACTTTTATTTTATATAAAAATAATTTTAACAATTTTATTTCTAACTATTTTTCACGCTATTATCAACATAAATATATTTTTATTTAATCCCTCACTAATAATCATCACACTAACAATTTCTTTAGAGTTATGTTAGGAATCTCAAACAAATTACTAAATTTTCTACAAACTATCTCATATGGGTGTGAGACCCACACACATTTAATTTGTGTGGATCGTACACGTGAGAGGTTTGGTAAAAAATTTGATAATTTATTTCAAATCCATAACATTTTCCATTTCTTTATTAATCATTTTCGCACTAATAATCTATTTGCTAATCATTTTTTCACTAACGATCCAAACCAGCGTGGCGTGAGGGTAAAACTTTGTCCCTCGGATATGAGCTGAAAGCTGATTAGGTTAGGGTGTTTGGGGGAAACGATTCTCTGAGAGTCGTGATTACAACAATGTCGGCTCGATATCTGAGAAAAGTTCTCAGGCAACAAGAATCTCAAGAACAACAACAGGAAGATCATCAACTCGACAACGACGATGACTCCGAGTCTCCCGATTCCTCCACCCCAGCTTTTGTAAACCCTTTCGATCTCCTCAACGACGACGATCATGATCGCGATCAGGTTTAGTTCTTCTCTCTCTCTCTCTCTCTGTTGATATTTACCTTCAATCGCTTTTATTCTTGTTGATGTATTATACTTTTCTAATTTGCGTGTGGTTTCAATCTTGACGAGTTAGGGTTTTTGATTACTTATCGCGAATCTGTTTCTCTTTGAATGAGTTAGGCTTTCAATCTTGACGACTTAGGGTTTCAAATTACTTTTAAATTGTGCGTGGATGTTTATCATTTGAATGAAAATTTTGCCCATCACGTTTTTTTATTAAATCGAAACCTTAGAAACTCAGAATTCACTATCTTCAATTCTGGTTGATTGTACACATTGTTTCTAATAATGCTGGATGCAATTGTCTTAGATTTGGAATTGTTATATGTGGATTCAAAACCCCTAAATTGTTGTCTGCTACACGTAAATAATATTACTGGGTTGCTGGTAGGTGACCAAGGAAGGGGAGTAGTGGCTGAGGGTGGGGAGATGATGGGGGAGGATTGTGATTGCAGGTTGGTGGTTAGGGAGAAGCATGGGGCTGCAAGTGGGTAGCCGGGGAGGGGGAATGGAGGTTGCTAGTAGGTGGCAAAGAGTATTTAGGGGTGGCAAGGGAGAGGCTTCAGCATCGGTGGATGGGTGGGTTGGTGGAGGGGGAGAGAGAAGACAGGGGTGGTGGCGGTTGTTAGTAATGACCATCTAAGAAGTACAAACATAGACACGACATCGACACGCCAACACACAAATTTTTAAAAAATGAGGGACATGACATGTGTAAGGGACACGTGTAAAATTTATAATTTTATATATTTATTATATATCATATATAATGATAAATAATTATTATATATCATATATATGAATATGTTAGTTAACCTCAAAAGGTTGGTTTTGGTGGTCAGGGCCCGGGGGTGCACTCTCTCCAAAGTTGCAGGTTCAAAACCTTTTAGGTGAAAACAATTTACTAGAGCTAGTTCATATAGGGTTTTGGCCCAGCTTTATTTGGCCCCTTGCTAGTGAACGGTAAGATTGATTTCTTGGATTAGTCGGTCCAGTAGGTTAGATACTGAGTTATCAAAAATAAATAAATAAAAGGAAACTTTTAGTTAAAATTAAAAGTGATAATTTTTAAAATCTAAAGGAGAAAAAATAGTTATAAATTTTTATTATTTTTTATTATATTATTGAATTAGAAATTATTTTATTCAAACTCATAATGTGTTTTATGTGTGTCTAAATGTAGGAAGTGAGTCCAATTGTATCCAACTTGAGCTCGCTTTTTACTGAATCAATTATTGCTACATGTCCTCACAATGCCCCTTCTTTTCCTACCTACCCCTTGGTTAGGGGTATAAATTTGGCCTGACCCGGCCTATGTCGGGTCACACAGGCTCCATCTAAAATTCAAACCGAGCCGGGCCAGCCCACGGGCGAGAAAATTAGGCCCAGACCTAGGGGTATTTGAGCCTCGGGCCTAGGCTTGGGCGGGCCTGAATATATATATATATATTTTTTTTTTGTATTTTTTCATCAAATTTTTTTCTTTTCCACCAAAAATGGCACTGGACCTCGGGCGGGTCGGGCTAGGCTTGGCCTTGGGCCTGGCTTTGAGTGGGTCGATGGGCCAGGCTCCAAAACACACGGCCCAAGCCCGATCTCGGGCTGGGCTTGCGGGTAGGCTTCGGGTGGCCCACGGGTCATTTTTACACCCCCTACCCTTGATTGCTTTTCAAAATTTGAATTGCAAGAAGCTAGAGAATTCTATTTTCACTGGCTATTATTGTCTTCGAAGAGTTTTTTGCAACTACTCTCTCAACTTGGTATATGTTATCCAAGGGTTGAATTCCAACTAGACCGATATCTCATACTTCATACTACTAATTGCGACTAGCATATAGGACATAATCTTACATCTTTGTGTTCCAATAGACAAGCCCATCGATGAGGCGAATATCAAACTTCTTTGTCGTTGGTTATCCATTGCAATGAAATCCCCACAAGCTTCTCTTATAGACTAAGTACTTTAGGATTAACCTATTTATCAAAAAAAAAAAAAAAAAAGGTACTTTAGGATTAACTTGGGGTTTGTAGTGACACCCCATCTTGACCACTTATCCAAAAATAACTGCTCTTCTATTTTGCAATCTCTCTTCTTTAAAACCCTCTAGGGTCTTCTCTAATGAGAGCATAAAGAGAAATTGTGCCCCACTCAACTCTATAATTTGACCTCTAGTGAAACACGCCATCATTTCTTAACCTACTTCTACACCACCTTTGGCAATGGTATATGCCAAGGCCCCAACCACCTCCTCATCGGACAACTTTGCAAAAATGGTAATCTCTTCAAATGACTACTGCGCCACTTCCACTTCTCCATGATTCTCCATGCCAACAATTTACCCTTTACCTCCACTACTTTCCTTGGCCATGACTAAATATTTGCTGCCTCAAGGAAACACTTAAAAACTTTCTTATGCCACCCCTCGCCTACATGACCAGAGTCTTGGACACCTTGGTCATCACCACCCACCCACTCCCATTCTGGATGTTCGGGATTTTAACCACTTCCCGCTTCCCATGCACTAGAGTCTCTACCTTCTCTACCTTCATGTACCTCCCCCCTCCCCCAATTAGAAAGTCCATGACATACCACTGATCTTTAACCCTACCTCAATTGTCAAAATAATGAGCCCCCAAAATCTTTTAGAAGCCTTAGCCCAACATATAACATAGCTATATGAGCTTCTCCTCCTCCTCCTCCAACCTTCTCAACCTTTTGATATCTCTCCGCCTCTTTATCAGTTCAAAACCTTTAAAAGATCCATTTCTTCTCTAATAAAGTCGAAGTTTTTCTACTGAACCAAATTATCTTCCAATTAAGATCCTTCTGTAATTATTGTTGAGAATTATGTTATCTATCATAGTGCATTTGCATATCCTAACTAGTGGTGCAACTAAAAATGAAGGATGCCAAGTGATTTTCTTTTTCCTTTTGTTAATATCTGACACAAAGTTTTGAGTTTTGTATTAACTAAAACATTTCATTTGATGTAGTGTAATGGAGATATGAAGAAAATATATAAAGTACATTTAACTCGAGAGTTTTAGCTAATTTAAAAGAGACTAGACTACACAAAACAATCTGCTACATGGACAACCTAAGACTACAAACCGTGCAATGCTCGTGCATAACGCATTAGAAAGATCAAGCAAGAAGATAATTTAGCAAACGATTAAGCTATAAGATAAAAACTACTAATACTAAATAGTAAATAATATATTATATGTCACTCATCTTAGCTCCACAATAAAAAAGTATCCCTATTAGTGTCCATGAATAGGGGTCTGGAGGAGGGGTGAAGTGGATTGGGTAAAGAGAGCTAACCTTTGGCATTATGTACCCAAGATGGCTACCCTCAGGTTTGAACTCATAGTCTCAAAGTTAATAGACCGAGTTTTAATCATTGAACCAGTGGCCATAGGGATCTCGGAGGGTGGGTTGCGTATAACCTCTCAATCATGCATACTGGGTTGGTGATGCCATAGATAGTAACCTGCAACCTTAATTTTTCTTGTTCTAGTGGCTCATTGTAGAAGCCCCATAACTATCTTGGTGCCATTTGCAATAACTTGACTTTGTAAATTGATCAAGATTGAAGGAATAGACCAATGTCGCCTAAAGATCCTTGCAGTAGTGACAACCTAGTTTTTCCGTGTAATTGCAGCTTTCATAGCTAGGCAAATTCTTAAAAAAGTAGGGTATAGGCTGTGTTACATGGACTCGCCACTTTGGGGCGAAGTACCCGTGTCGACACGACACGACACGGGTGCGGGTGTGGGATCTGTGTCGGATTCGCCTGTTCTCATTCAGACATGGCTCTTCACAGACAGCAAAAGAAATGAAAGAGGAGAGAGCAAGAACCTGGTCGAAGCTCGAAGACCTTCAGTCGAAGCTCTATCCGGTCGATCCAGTCGAAGATCGAAGCTCCATCAGGTCTCTCTCTCCCTCGCGATCGCGATTGCTATCGCTTCCCCTTTACTCCCTCTCCCTCTCCCTCTCTCTATCGTTTTATCTTCTTCCTTCTTCCTTCTTCCTGACTCTGTCTATCTATTCGTATCTATCTATTATTATAATAACTATAATAATAATAATAATAATAATAGTTAATAAACTATTAATAGTTAATAACTATAATAATAAATATTATTATTATATATCATATAATAATTATTATGTAACATATAATATGTTTATTATTATATATTATATAATAATTATTATATAACATATAATATATTTATAAGATAATATATACTTATATATATTAATAAAAAATAAATAAATGCATGTATGTAAAATAAAATAAAATAAATTAATTAGAACACATTGTTTAAAAAATATAATAAATAAATTAAATAATTAATGTATATTAAAATAAAAATATTTATAATATATATATATATATAATATAACTCATCTCCATAGATTTTTATTTGTTATTTATATAATATAACTCATCTTCATATAATAAATATATATTTTAAAAAAAAAATTATTTAACGTATCCCCGTACCCGTATCCAAATTTGGATACATATCCACGTACCCTTAATTTTTAATTTTGAAGTGTCCGACCCCTAGATACGCACCCGCACCCGCACCCGATACCTGTACCCAAGTCCGTGTAACCTAGGGTACAGGTACGACTAAGGTACGCCAATTTTTAATTTTTTTTTATAAATTTATAGTTAAACATCCAACATATAAATCAAAGCTTCTATATCAAAACTAAAAAGAAAACTTGTCTAAAAAATTATATAATTTTTATTTTTATTTATTTATTTATTTTTTTGATTGTCCAAAACATTATGCAAAAGAGAGCGAAATCATGACTCATGGGTAAAGGGTATTGGAAATAAATTACTTGATGATTTTCGAAGTTGAAAGAAGGATAATAAAGGCTGCAATAAATTCTAACAGCTGCCAAAAAAAAAAAAAAAAACCTCGCCGTACCCGTGCCATACCCACAATGTACCCAAACGTATTTGCCGTACTCGGCATGTATTTGGTGTACCCAGTACGTGTACCGCCGTACTAGTACGCGTATCAGCACTCGGTAAGCACCCAGTACTCATACGACATCATTTTTGGATTTCTCGTGCTTCATAGTCTAAGTAAGGGAAGCAACCATCCTGCTTTGTCCCCCACTCTGTTGGGTTTGAGTTATGCCATGATTAGGCTTGATTTTTTGCCAATAAAGTGAAGACTATCAAACTGATGAGGCATGATTCACATAGAAGCATTAATACTATGGTTGAATGATGATAGGCCCATGTCTTGTTGATGAGAGTGAGAATTTTGTGGTTTGAGAGGGGAGCAATTTGGGGTCAATTTTCCAAGTCTTTATGGAATAAGGAAAAATAGAGAGGCTTTGTTAATAAATTTGTTTGTATATAAAGAAAGTGAAAAAAAAATTGTTAGGAGACCTCTATTGAGGAGATAGATCAAAGGAGAATGACGTATCCTTAAGCTTAAGCAATTCACTATGGGTGTATTACTACTTTTTTTTTAGAAATTACCAAAAAAATGGTAGTAATTAGGAGAATGAGAAATATGTACTTAAACTAGGAGCATAGTGTAAAAGAATGAAAATTATTTACTTTGGAAAGGAGAAAATGAAATAAGCTTTTGACAATTTGATAAATTATGGTAAACTTTTTGTCATAGTCATGTCAACTTGTGTGCATCATTGAGTAGAAATGTACCCATAAGATTTTGAATTATATTGCAAATCCATAAGAGATGATTTATTATAAATCAAGTTAATCATTTTATGTCTAAGAGTTTTGTTAACATATATATATATATTTGGAAGAGGCCAATGGGCGCCTACGTTACACGGACTCTCCAGTTTTGGCGAAGTACCCGTGTCGACACGACACGACACGACACGGGTACGGGTGCGGAATACGGACGGGATACAGCATATAGAAAGTGGATACGATGGCATACCTGCGATTAGGGCTAAAATTGTAGGGCTTCGATCGTCTTCGTCAATCTTTTGTGCCGCTATGAACGACAACCGAAACCCCGATCTGGATTGCGAAGCCCACGCCGTCATCCATTCTTCAAATCTGTGATCGTGGTGATCTGTGGTCGCGCGATGTGGTCTGTTTCTAGATCTGGGAGAGAGAGAGAGAGAGAGAGAGAGAGAGAGAGTTTTGCTTCAGGTTTGTTGCCGTCATCGTAGAGGTTCAAATCGACGTAAAGGTAAAGACGAAAGAAGATAGAGAAGAGAGAGAGAGAGAGTGGTTTGGGGGAAAATATTGTGATATAATAAAATATAATATAACAAATCATTTAATTGTTATTTCTTAACTTTTTAAGATATAATAAATAAAACAAATCATATAATTGTTTTAAAAAAATCTATTTAAATCATATATAATAAAAAAAAATCTTAAAAAATTTATAAAATAAAACATTTAATTTTTGTTTTTTATTTAAGCATAATTTATTATTCCTTATTTATTATAATTATTTTTTATTTATAATATATAACGTATTCCCGTACCCATATCCACATTTGGATCCATATCCACGTATCTTCAATTTTTAATTTTGAAGTGTCTGACTCCCAGATAAGCACCCACACCCAATACCCACACCCAAGTCCGTGTAACGTAGATGGACGCAACCCATATACATGTAAAATATATATAGATGGAGACAGCCATAAACAACCGCATGAAAATATATACAGACTAACAACCATAAAAAAGGAACCATTTGGATTTCAAACTCTGTGAAATGTCAAATGGAATGGGAACTCATCAAGTTAAAAGCTTTGCAATCCATATCTTTATGTCGAGACACTTACAACTCCTAAAGTATTACTTGGTAAAGAAAAAATTATGCCATTTTGGTCTCTCAACTATCAAACTTTTCCTAGTTTGGTCCAATTTGTATTGGATGTTATGTTTTTGTGATGGATAAGGACACATTGCACAATGTGATCTTGACCTAACCCATATTCAACTTGTATCAATGGGTATCCATGGAAATATGAAAAAATGGGTAAATCACCCTTTGCCTCTCTCACCTTGGCCCTTAAAATTTACTTTTCCCAATCTGGTCACTAGACTATATGATTGTTCCCACACCACCACCAACCACGATAACACTACCATCAACCACCCTAGTCCCCCTCCTCATTGACTCCGCCACCATGCTGTTTGCTAACACCACTGGCATAACCATCACCACTACCACACCATTTATTGACACTATAACCATATAACCATTCTCACCACCACCTTGGTCGTTACCACTACCATCATAACCTCCTCCTCAAGTCCTTGAGATTCGTCAAGCAAAAGGAACTAGATAATGGGTATAGTGATAAAGGCATTGATTAGTCAAGAGAGAGAGAGAGAGAGACGGTTGGTTTGGTTATGGTGGCTGCCGGGGGAGTTTGGCGGTGGTGGTGGTGATGGTGGTGGAGTTGGAGGGGGAAGAAGAGGAGAGAGAGAGAGAGAGAAAAGCGGAGGGGTATTTGCCGATTGGGTTGGAGAGAGAAGGGAGGGGTTCGGTGATGGGACCCCTCAATGTGGGGAATTTTCCCTCAGTTTAGAGATAGACCTTGTCAGATACTTATGGACTAAAGTGTAAGTAACGGGCCAAAGTGCCAAAGTGAGAAATATAACACATAAAAATCCAAAACTACCTCAGCACTGACACCTCCTTTGCAAATTGGACCAAACTGGAAAAAGTTTGGTAGTTGAGAGATTAAAGTGGAATAATCTTTTCTTTTACAATGAAAGTGAGAAACAAGCAATACTTTTGGGGGTGAAAGCATAATTTACCATAAAATTTTGAATTATATTGTAAATCCACAAGAGATAATTTATTGCAGCTCAAATTAATCATTATATGTTTAAGGGTTTTGCTAAAAGTTAAAATCGACACTGTTTTTTGCTGTTTCCTTTTCTTTTATGGTTTGTTTGTTTGTTTTTGCTTTGTTGGAACTTGGAAGAGGTCAGTGGGCGCACATAACCCACGTACGTGCAAAATATATATAGACAGACAACCATAAACAACCCTAGATTTTGTGTAAAAGACCCAAACCTTGTAAAATTCAAAGCGGAATGGGAACTCATCAAGTTAAAAACTTTGCTATTGAAATCCTTATCTCTGGACAAAGAACTTCAAGGCAAGGCAAAGGAAACTAAAATTATCAGAATGTGCTGTTGAAAGATATACATAGATTAAAGTCGGACCTAAAATTAGGACAAATATTTTAAGACTTGCATACATCAATCTTAGCCATCAGTCTTCATAGTGGATCCCATCTTCTAATTGAATGACTTATCCAAATTTATTTTGCTTCAAAATTTCCATCTCTTGGTCCTCTTGTTGTTTGTGTCGCCTTCCAGAGAGAGCATTATCATACAATTTAGCTAAGATCTGTGTCCTTGTTCTGAATATCACATTCTATAGTTGTGCTTTTGACCAATCAAAGTCCTGTGTGACCTCAGTGTGGAACAGACAACGTTATGGAAATCAGAGGGTAACTTGTTGACTTGCAATGAAATTTCCAAGACCATTTAAAATTGTTTTATGGCAATCATGCTAGCTGTGTTCCTGCCAAGAATAAATTGCTGAAACAAATCTTTATAGATACATATAAAGAAGCTTTGGCAATCAATGCTTCGTACCCATTTTTCAACTGCTATCTGGTGACACTATGGTGCTGAGATATACTTTTCATCCTTTTTCCAACTTGGTATTGCTGATGGAAGTAATTAAGAACCATCATTTCAGGACATTTTGTTGAATTTCAATGACTATTGGTCAACTTTCAGCTGCAGGGTAGTGAGCCAGAAATTGCTGATGAACATGAACCCTTGATAGGAAACATTGATGACAGAGAACCCTCAGTGAAAGCTACTGTTAACACAGTTCCATCATCCAATCACAAAGCAAAGAAAAAGAAAAAGAAAAAGAACAAGGTGGATCCCTCATCAAGTATGGGAAACATTGAAAAGCCCCTAGATGTGATTTTAGAAAATTTGTCTATTGAAGATAACTCTTCTAGTCATCCATTGGGCCCTTTAAAAGCCAAGCCAGCAAAGGTAGAAATCGGTGACAGCATGCTTAAACAATGCACGCCCTCCATTTTACAAGTGGATCCCAAATTTCTAAGTGCAGAAAATGAGCTGCGACGAATATTTGGTTCTAAGGTAGTAAGTTCATTTCAAAAGAGTCACCAAACAGGCAGTTCGAGACAGGTACGTGGGGGGAGACATGGAAGTCACAACCATCGAAAAACTATTCTTGTCACTCCATCAGAACATTGGCATCGTTGGGATGGGTCTTTGTCAATGGAACTTTTGGAAACAAGAGATGGGTACCACTATTTCAAGTAAATCTCATGCTTAATCTGCTAGATATTGTTTGATTAGACTTACTTTATACATGTCTTATCATTGTTTATACTGCAATTAAACTACTTTACTTTCTTGTTAATTGAAGCTACGGAGTAGGAAATATCTATCCAGTTCTTAGACATCAGTTTACCCTGATGTGATGTGCATACATTTTTTATTTTTATTTTTTTATCTAGCCTTGAGATGGAACTGCATGATTCTAGAGCTGTTGTAGTTTGTGAGTCTAGTATAATATGATGAGCTGAAAACACCTCCATGGTCTGATTGTTCGGAATGGGGAATTACTATTCTCATCAATAGCATTTAACCATTCAGGTAATCTTATGCTTTGACTTGGCATTCATTTGTTTCCAATAAATAATAGTTATCAAGAAACTCTCGTCGAGAGGGGAAACTCATTTTAAGGAAAATTCCTAGGGAACATTTTTGAGACATTTCAGAAACTCTAGCATGATTTTAAAAGAATGTAATGAAACTCTTGAAAATGTTGTGGAAATTCCATAGAAACACCATTCCTATAATTGTGTAGAAGCATTTTTTTTTTTTTTTTGGTCTTAGTTTTCTTAGTATGCATTAGTGGTACCTCAGCCCATTTTCCTTGCAAATTAATATCTTCTTTTCTTCCTTTGCCCCACTGCAAGAAATTTTTTAATATGGTATTGCCTTTATTTTTAAAATTGGTCCTCACCTGTTCTCAAGTACTAAGCCAATGAAAGTGGTGTATCAATCTGTTGATTAAAGGAATACAGTGTGAAACATGGTTGGAGCACCCTGTTGGTGTCCTTGCATTGAGATGTGATTTTGAGTTCATTTGGTCATAAATGTAACATGTCTGAATCTTTAAGCCCAAGCCCCAAGCATGTTTTATGTCTATAAGTTTTATTTCCTCACGCATCGCTTCCGTGAACATTTACATTCGAGCATTGTAATTAAAATATCTTAAATGGTATCCAATTAGGCTGCTAGCTCCGTTTCTGAAATTAGAGTTGAAGTTACCATACTCTTTTAAACTTTGATATTGATCTTTTTTTTCTCATTATAGGCAGAATATGCAGTTTTTGTATTCTATCAAATGCACAATGTCTTATGGGATATATGTTTATGCACAGAGCACAATATATTTAGAGATGCTATTATTACCTGATATGCTCATAATCAATGTTATGAGTCTTATGACATGCATTAACCTCGACTACATATCAGTTTCAAATTTTGGTGTCGTACTGATGTATATTTTAATTGGTTTTTGTCATCATGTAGATACGTACACTCATCTTCCTATAGCCAAGTGCAGAGTGCATATGAAGCGGCTAAAGCAACACATGATCTTAATGGTATAGCAAGTATTTTGTTTTATCATCCGTATCATTTAGATTCACTGATAACTATGGCGGAGTATTTTAAGTTCTCTGGTGATCAACAAATGGCGGCAGATTCTATTGCAAAGTGTCTATATGCCTTGGAATGTGCGTGGCATCCAATGTTCAGCCCCTTCCAGGGCACTTGCCAATTGAAATATATTGGCCATGAAAGTAACAGGCCATTGTTCACGGCACTTTTCACTCACATGAATGACATGCACAGGCGTGGATGTCATCGCTCTGCACTTGAAATTTGCAAATTATTGCTTTCTGTGGATTCAGATGATCGAAAGGGTGCCATGCAATGTATTGACTATTTCTCTTTGAGGGCAGAGGAGTACAAATGGCTAGAACAGTTCTCTGAGGAATATAGAACAGATAACTCCATATGGTTAATTCCAAACTTTTCCTTTTCTCTTGCCATTTGTCGATTTTATCTTGAGCATGAGGAAGGCTCAAACAATACACAAATGAAGCCTGGAAAAGCTACTTCGACTGATCTCCTAAAGCAGGCTTTGTTACTTCATCCGCCAGTCTTGAAAAAATTAGTTGCAAAAGTACCTCTAAAGGATCAAGCGTGGACAAAGATACTCAAGCACAGTTACTTCGGATCAGATCAAACAGGAATCCCGACTGTAGACCATCTGATTAATATATATGTCGAAAGGAGTTATCTTATCTGGAGGCTCCCCGATCTGCAAAAATTGCTTAGGAACTCTGCGCTACTAGCGATTGATACACTGGAGCGTAATAAGTGTGAAGCTCAGGACTGGGCTTGTGTAAGGAAAGAAGCTTTCCCATCGGACAAGAATGAGTAAGTGTTCTTTTCATTTACACGGTTATCCTACTCTTTTATCTTGCTTCAGTTTGGCCGCAGTAGATATATTGTATGTTTGTACTTTGGTTAGATAAGTTATTTACCGAGATTTATGCAGTGTAACTAAGGCCAAGTTTGGAATACTTAAAAAAAGTCAAAAAGTCAAAAAGTCAAAAAGTTACTCAAAAAGTTAAAAAGTTAACACTATTTACCAAAAGTTAACAATTACGGTTGCACAACTCTCAATCCTAATTTTCCTCTACAAACCAATTTTTTACAATTTTTTATTACACATTTTTTCATAAAAAGTCAAAAAATTAACCCAAACATCCATATTTTTTCCCTCCACTTTTTAGTCCAAAAAGACAAAAAGTGTACTTATTTAGGATACCTTAAACAACCCCTAATTATCTGGCTGTTATATATAGGCTACAAATGAGCTGAGTAATAGATTATTCAAGCTTTGCTTGAAAACTTCACAAGCTTCAAGACTTGTACAAGCTTTGACTTGTTTACATAGCAAGTCAATCTTGAACGAGCTTTTAACAAGGCAAACATGAGTCAAGTAGCTTAGTTTTTTTATGATGCATATATGCTTATCAAACCGCGTAATTGATTGTTCAAGCTTAGCTTTGCGTTCAATCTTTTAGGTTGTTTACATAATGAACTGAATATGAGTCGCGCATAAGTAACTTGGTTTTTGTCTTGCAGCCCTGGTTATATGTTGTAAAACATACACGACTCTGTACTTTTATTGGCTGGTTGCTCGTGCATCGTTTAATTTTTGAACAACGGAATTTTCTTGATTTTCAGGTACAGCCATTTATTGGTATCTGATTTCTCCGATTCAGTACCAACAATGCCACCTGATAACCTGCAGAATTTTCTTGTTGATCCAAGAATGAGAGAGGTACCGAATGGTGATCAAGTTGCCAACCCACCTCATGGGGGAGGTGCTCCCCGTAATATAGCGAACCGAAATGCATTGGCCGTCTTGTTCGAGTCTATGTTGCCGTGGGTTGATTATGGTGTCGGAGATGGAGTTGGTGAGGATGGCCAGCACAATGACCATGTACAAGACCATGAAAATTAAATTTGAAGCAGGTGCCATGAAAGATGTTGGGGCAGGAAGACAATGGAATTTGCAATTACCGATGTCGGAGAAAATGGTAATGTTTCGTGGATGGATATACAGGTTTTTGGTGGAAGTTGGAAAGCTAAAAGAATTTTGCTAGCAGAATAAAAATTTGTTGGTATTTTTATGATAATTTTTGTTGCATGTGGAAAGCACTGTAGTTTTTATTATTTTAATTTGTTGTTGCATGTGGAAAGCAATATAGTTTTTATTATTTTTGTTCATTTGATATGTGGAGCCATCAGAAAATATTGGTAAAGTCGCTAGCTGTTTTAGGCTACGGAAGCAAAAATATTTAGCAGCCTTTTATTGGGCCTGCCTACACTACATGAGGCTTGAGCTGGGCGGTTGAAGTCTGTCTTGTTATTGTCTCATGAGAGGCAGTCCATTGAGTTGGTCCTTGGGGCCATTAGTAATTATGAAAGTAAAATACTGACAGTGCACAAAACAAAAGAAAGAATAAAAAACAAAAACCTTAAATCTTGGTCCAAAGCTTGTTGGCCCAGTTTGACCTATGAACCATTTGGGCCTGTTTGACATGCCTTGGGCCTAGAGTTGGGACATGTCTTGGGCCCCTTACACCAAGATTGTACACCATTTGGGCCATGTATTCTCAAGCTGGTTTGGGCCTCTTTAACCCAGACCGTTGAACATTTGGATCTTGTCTTGGGCCTGGAATTGGGCTATTGGGCCTCTATGGCCCAGATTGTAAACTACTTAGACCATATATTTTGGGCTCTTTACTGTAAACGATTTGGGCCATGTTTTGGGGCTAAAGTTGAACATTTGGGCCTATATGGCCCAGAATATAAAGTATTTGGATCATAACAGGCCTAAAGTTGGAGCATTTGGGCCTCTTTTGCCCAGACTGTACATCATTTGGGCCTAAAGTTGGGTTGTGTAGGCTGCTTAGACCTTTTTTGCCATGTTGTAAACTATATGGGCCAAGCCTGTTTGGCATGTCTTGCGCATAAAGGTGGACTATTTGGGCCCCTTCAGCCCGTCCACCATTTGGGCCATGCTTGTATCTTGGGCATAAAGTTCAAGCGCACAACCCAGTCCAAGGCTTATCCAGCAGGTGGGCTTGCAAACCATTTTCCCGGCCCGACCCAGTTTCAGGCATTATCTTGCTATGCGACAAATGTCATGCCATTTACACCTTGTTTGGATCTTGATTTGTCAAGAATAAACAAAAATGGAAGAGAAATGAACTCACCCATATAAATTTTTTCTATACAAAACTAAATAAAAGAAGTTATTTTGACAAACATATATTTACTTCTCATTTACTTGCCCCAACCAAAAAAAAAAAAAAACATTTTTTCTTTCTTATCTTTAACTATCTTTACAACATCTAAATGCAGCCTTAATCTATTTAACTCTCTTTTTAACATCCAAATACCTCTCTCCCAGGATGACTGAGATAGAAAAATGCATGTATCCTAGTTGGTTGGAGCACATAAAAATAAAGGCTGTATACGCTTCAATGGAATCGATAAATATAAAATTTTAAATGCTTCCGACTGCATGTATTATACCCTTCCAGAAAATTGCCACCACGGGAAGGTCAACCAATGCCATCAGTCTTTTGTTGCAAAATCATAATTTTCGACAAATTGTCATGCCATCACCAATGGGTACCTAAAATTAAAACTATTTGGTATATGAATATAGAATAAATTGAGTAGCTTGAAAAATATCAAAAAAAGAAACTCGTGCACCTACCATGCTGATGCTTACACGTTTGTCCTCCATTACACTTCTGTTGAAATTTCTTATACTGACAGTCTTTGCATCGTTGACCTGCTCAAAAGAAGCTAGTTAAGTCGCATAATATCTCTGGCAAGGTTTACAGAGCATATTTATTTACTTATTCACCAGTGGATTAGCAACTTTTCCGTGCCAGAGGACATTATCAATCACAATGAGACCCCCAACCCTCACCTGCAGCAGTACATGAACAACAATCAGTACATTGTCACAAAGTGCTACAAGTTTTGATTGTATGTCTTGGCCCCCTAACCAGTTGCAGCAGCAATTCAAAGTATTCATGATACATTCTCTTCTCAGCGTCAACAAATGCAAAGTCATAGCTGCATAAAAGAAAAAGTTGTGGTGAAATGATATTCTTCCATTTATAATAGTGATTTTCAGGTGCATCACAAATTCACAACATGAAAAAAAGCGAGAAAAAATCATCGAACTGCGACAAATGCATTAACCACAAAGTAACCACTGGGCACTGTCTGCAGCAAATGGAACACCAAATGAAATGTCTAGCCATGGTATGACCGGCCACTAGGAGTGAAGAAGGGTGATGGATGGCTTATGGTGATGATGGCTGAAAGAGAGTTTTGTGCGTCTTCCAAGGGCTTCAAGAGCAATTCTCTTCTCTTATTTTTAACAACTCTTTTTACCCAGAAATTATGTATGGCGTAGATAAAAATTAGGTGTGTTGTTTCTTTGTTTATTTGATCATAGATAGTGGTCTAATGACAAGAGCCGACAAGGGAAGCCTGATCCTATTGATTTTTACTCATTTTCCGATTGAGCAAGTGGGTACGAAATAAATCAGATTGATTTTTCAATCAAATGTTTTGGATATCAAACAGGCCTCCCCAGAAGTTAATTTTAATATGGCCAATTTTCACTCTTTTGCAATCAGTTTAGCTACAGCACCCAGATTCCACTGTACCTCCCTTTATACAAAATAAAAAGGGGAAGTCATTTGATCTTCTCCTCGAAAGTATCCGCGCTGGCTGCCACCCCAAAAGGAGCGACAGATACTTTAATTTATTTGCTTATGTCTAGTACTAAATAATGTATTTGGAGTGTCTCTAGAAAGAATATCATGAGAACAATTCCTGGAGCTGCCACTGCCGGCTATGATGCATCAGTACATCCATGTTTCTAGGATGTTTCTACGTGATTCCAGGTCACTCTGTTCTGTGACCAAACTTTGCATGGTCAATTCAGTGGTGGTCAAGGCTTGGGCCTGGGGGTGTACTCCCTCCAAAGTCTAGTTCAAATTCTCCTCAACCAATTTATTGGGATCAATCCATACAGGCTTTGTCCCGGCTTTAATTGCCCCAACCTCCTAAATGCCCCACCAACTAGTGGACAGTGAGATTGGTCCCCAAATTAGTCGGTCTAGTCCAGTGGGCTAGATACCGAGTTATAAAAAAAAACACTCCATTTTATATAAGCCAAATACTGTTGGAAAGCTTAAAGAGTCTACTTTCATTTAGTTTCCATATCCTTAATACTTTTCATCACCATGTTACCTGAAAAGAGCAAATGGATTCCTTTTCTTAAAATGTTCACAACTCTTTCAATTAAAATCATATCAAGGCCCATTTGATACACATGAAAAGTTCTGTCATATTACTACAGAATGGTGGAAACCAAATTTAGAAAGGGATATTTTGCAAATAAAATAATGTGTGGAAGTAAACCCTTCACAAAGGCAAACAATGGGGCATTTGGCCATTTTCCATGTTTAATCATTTGAAACAATTTCTAGCCTAGAGAACCATTTCTAAGGTCTAAAACCACCATACATAAGGGTGTGTTTGAGCTTGTGCTCAATCCGGAGAAAATTTGAGCACATTTTCATTGAAATTCAATTCATTCTCTGGTCATCACTGGAAGACTCAAAAGAGGAGCCTAAGTCTTATAGCCAATAAAATATGGGGTGTCTACAAATGTTCATCTGCCCCATTTGCATGTTGGCTATATTTAAGGCATGGATGCAAGGATAAATGACAGCACAATTTCAAGAACTATTACTAAATATAACTGGGCTCTATATGCTAAATACCTGCAACTTTCCCCCTTTTGAATCATAGATTTTAAAGCATCAGCAGCCATACCATGCTTCACATCCACCTAATGCCAATTATATTGTATCAGTAACCATACAAACATCAATGGAAGGAGAGAAAGAGTAGCACAAATATGTAAAGATAGAAATTTATTAACATAGATGTAAACACTGTAAAGTCTACACCTGTCAAGGAAGAACACAGTGTGAATGATAGACTATATGTTTGAGGGGGGGAAATGAAAATAAATAGCAGCAATCATAATGTAATGGGCGTCTTAAGCAGTTCTCTGGAAACATGTTTAGTACATCTTCCTTACAGAATCCATTATATGCAAAACCAAACACTTTTATAATACAAGCATTAATGAAAATATGACTCACCTTGTGTGAAACACCAGCTCGATCATAATACCTTTTCGCAACCTCCAGAGACTTCATATCTCTTTCACAAGCAACTAAACGGCCTGATTCTGGTAGGACTAAAGCTATAGCCAACGATGAGTATCCCTGGGATTCAAAATCATTACATTAGTAAAGACATGCTTCATGAGATTCCAACAAAACATGACCCTCTTTTCTTTGCAAGAAGAGTTATATGCTTACAGTGAAACAAGAAAAACAAAAGAGAACATCATTGTGAGGACTAGTAAAAATTAGTGATCCTATGCTTCCATAAAAGAATGCCAAATTAGTGATCCTATGCTTCCATAAAAGAATGCCAACCATGGATGACGGTATTTCAGTTCCATTAAATAAAAAAGACACAACTGACTGTAACAGAGTGATCACCATCAATTGACCTTGAGCCTTCCTGTGTCATAAAGATTTGTAGTCCATAATATCCAACTAATATTATAAAGGTTATTAGTTACAGGATTCGCGCAAACAGGCCGCGATTCTTACTCAGAATCGCGATTCCGCGCTTCCTAGAAAGAAACGCGTAAGAATCGCGTTTCTGTGAAGAGAGAAACGCGATTCAAATGAAGATGGGATCGTAAAGGGGAGAGAGAGAGAGAGAGAGAGAGAGACCTGGTGCGTCTGCCTTCGATCTGCTCGATCTGCCTTTGATCTCAGTCTCTCGCCTTCGATCTACCTTCCGATCTGCTGTAGAGACTCGTTAGCTCCTCCGATTTGCCTTCGATCTGCGTCGCCATGTCCTCGCCTTCGATCTGCCTTCCTCTCTCTCTCTCTCTCTCTTATCGTGCGTCTCTGTCCCTCCCGTTTTCAACCTATAACAATATAATTGGTTATATATAAAATATATATATATCTAATTTATTATATAAAATATATATCTAATAAATTATATTAACATAATTGTGTCTAATAAAAAATATATATATATATATATAATACATATAATAAATCTAATAAATAATATAATTTGTGTCTATCTCACCCCTCTCCAATTTTAATTTTTTATTTATTTTAATATATTTTAACACATTATTTAAAAAATATAATAAATAAATAAAATAATTAATATGTATTAAAAAAAATATTTATAAAAAAAACTTTTAATGTGTATTAAAACATATATATATATATATATTTATATATTACCGCTCCCCGAGGCGCTCCCAACCTAAGAAACTTTTATTGACTCACGCTTCCCCGCTCCTGCTCCCGCTCCCGCTTAAATAACAAGTTTCCAAGCTTTTAAAAGTTTATTCCAGTTGGGAATAATAAGACTACTCTACCAAACATGGACCTCATTCCCAAAATCACAGGTTCAACAGCGTGGTCGTTGCCTTTCATCCCATTGGCCCCTGCAGTCTCAGCAACAAGATAATAAACAAAAAATGACAACTGTCTAGTAATCCTCAATAGCGTCACTGCAGTATCAATTATGGTACTTATCACACAGTCTGTTGATGACCATCTCTATTAAACCTTCTCAACGGTGTGTTTTTGTTGAGAAAAGGATCGTATGATTAACTGCCACTGTTATGCTCATTAACAGCAAAGCTGGTTTCGGAAATTTGGAAGAAAGAATACAGCATTTAATAGGAAATGGTCGTGGAAATTCTTGAGAAATGAACACCTCCTCTGGTACTTAGTGATTCAGAATTATGCCCATCTACATCACATTCCCCGAGACATTCCACTCTCTAGAGGCCACAACCTTCAAACACAGAACAAGTGGCTATCCTGGAACTTTTCTTTTTTTTGGTAACTGGGTGTCTAGCCAGCTTGCGAGCACCTCAACTAATCCCAGGGCCCTGAAGTTAACAACCGAGTAAACCTCCAGTGGCCCCTTGGGTGAATCGAACTCGAAACCTTGGATCTTATCCTCGAGTCTTTATTGCTCGGCCAACCCCTTGGGGTTGTGGCTATCCTGTCTATAACTCTCTAAATTGATATTCTCTACACAAGTTCAGTAAAGGACAGTCTGTTAGACATTCACTTCTCACAGCTTGACTTGTGAGTCTGGTGGAGTTCTTGCAAATCCCTCATTCTACATCTTACTTGTACCAAAATTTGAATCCTTCCTAACCTTTTTTTTTTTTTAATCAGCTTGAATCCTTCCTCAGATGCCAAAGAGCATTCAAACAAGAAGACATACACTCCCCCTATGGCAAAGAAGAGGGGGATAAGAACAAACAAACATAAGGCCCTCACTCAATCAATAGACTTCAATTATGAGAAATATCTTTCAAAGAAAGAGACTTAAGCCTCGTTTGGCAAGAGGCTATTTTAGCCAATTAGCCAAAAAGTTACTAAATTAGCCAAAAAGCCAACAACCCATACCAAAAAGTCTCCTGAATTATGTGCATCAGGAATGTCAAAACTGTTGGCCATGTAATCAATCATTGCTACTGATCCTAGTACAAGGTACTATAGCATTTCCTATTTCAACCTTTTACCAAATTTCTTTAACTTCATCTAACCTATGCTTGCTAAAAAATGATTGGAGCTTTGTTAGGTCATTGATTTTCTCCAAATTTTTACCTAATTTGATTTTTTTGTTGATAAATTTACTTTATTTAATTTTTGATTCATAATGTGTGAAAATTACTCCTCAACAAGAACACCAAATTTCTTACATTTTGGTTCTCCATGGTAAAGAGAGGAGATAAACAAGTAGAACACTATGATACAGAAAGAACAAACAAGTTGTTAAGAAATTGAGGTAATTATACTTTAGAATGCACGAATACTTACGGTGTAAACACCAACTTCGATGCACTTCTCTGCCCCAAGAATCTGGACAAGCATTGCAAGTAGTTGTGCTTGATCAGGAGATACCTATCAAACAGAGCAACAATTTTCAGATTTCGGGTACATGTTTAGGAAATCACCTCACAACTTCAGGAATGCAATAGAACGTCGACTTGGTAAGAAGCAGTTCAACCTATCAATTCCATGCATCAAGCAAGTCAATAAATGGTTCAAAAAGATAGAAAGTAAATTTCAATCAGTCCCCTAAATCTTCACAATTGCAATGATTTCTTTTCAAACTGAGTTTGATGCAAAAAGAGAGGCGATTTCAGACACATTTACAATACCACAATTGTCATAACTGGATCTAAATATGGTAAAAACATACCTTTTATGCCCCAAAAAAGACAAAAAATAAAATTTCCCCAAGGACTATCATTTACCACAGTGATGACCCAAACTTAATTCCAAGTGCGTGAAAGGATGCCAGGGGGAAGGGTTATTATGACAGAGAAAATGGGAATCCTGAGTAAAATTTTAAAAAAAATAAAAAAAATTGCATATCTTAGTCACCATAATAGTCTAGGATGGGTTCAAGAATCAAGATATTGGCTCCATTCGGTGTCATTTATAAGTTAGCTTTTACAATTATAACTGTTTAGATTATTAACTTAATTTTTTTAAATATGTTGAAAATCTGTTTAGTGCAGCTTTTCATAATCTGTAAAATAATAAATAAATAAACATGTATGGTTAAATAAGTTGTTACATAGCCTTTTGTCATGTAAATATCCAAGATGCCTATTGTAGACATCCCATTTTTGACCGACCTTAAGACTCAAACATCACCAACTGAGCGCTCGGTGATATTGCATATTGTGCTCGTTCTGAGATTTCAAAGTCTCAACTGCGAGCCTTGCCTCCGGACTTCGGGACTTTTTTGTACTTTGCCTCAATTTGTGAACCAAATCCTGTTTTCTCTGCCCGAAGGGAGGGAGAGGTCTCGTAGACCATCTCTCAGCGGCCGTAGGCTACGTTTCGTGGTCGTAGGCCATTTTTCCCGTTTGGAGGCCAGTTTCCGATTTTCGAAGCCGTCGGCCGTGTGCCTCAGTTGGGGACCGCTTAACTACCTCCGTTTGCTCCGATTTTTGGCACACCTTGTTTCCTCCCTTTTGAGGGACACTGTGGCCCGAGAGGCCACCTTCATGGTCGCACGCCACTTCCGGTGCCTAACAGCCTGTTTTCGGGGCCCCGGACTGCGCATTTTGACCCCCAAACCTTCGTTTTGCATCTGTCTTGGTTCATTTTTGGTAGGGACCCTATTTTCATTGTTAGGGAAGTGGTAGTATGGTGGGAGGCCACCTTTTCCCCTTGGAAACTAGCTTTTTCTTTTTCTCTCTCCTCCAGCCGATTTTTCTGACAAAAAGCTGATTTTTCTCACTTTTGAGCCACAATTTCTGGTTTTTCATACCACCATTGTGTTGTGCTCATCTGGGAGGCCACCAATATGGGTAGGCCGACCAGTAATTCTTCTTGACCCTTTTGAACCTTGCTAAAAAGCTGATTTTTCTCTCTCCTGGGTCACATTTTCTAGTTTTCCACCATATAGCTGTGTTGCACTCATCTGGGAGGCCACCTTTCTGGGGTGGCCGGCCAGCATTTCTCCATGAACCTTTTGACCCCTGGTCGGCCGACCAGGGAGAGTGGCCGGCCGACCACCTTAATTGGTCAGCCTGCTTCTTGTTTTTTGCTCTCTCTGAATGCATCACAGCTGTGCCAGCTGGGGGGCATTTGGACCATCCTCCATACACGTGTATGGAGGATATTTGAAGCTTCAAAGAGAAGCTTTGGCCTCTCTTCTCTATAAGAGAGGCCCTCCCTTCCTTTACTAGGATTGAACCCTTTGGTTAGAGCATACATACACTTCCCTCCATATCTCTCTCTTCCAAGCTCCAAAACCCCTTTGTTCTTGCACTATTTACACTACACATCCTAGCCTACCACCTCCACCACCCATTCAACCACCTTGGGACTGATTTTTAGAGGTTGAGAGCTCACTTTCTTGGTCCAGAAGTTGCTGCATTGCTGTGCTACAAGGGTAAGTCTCCATTTCTCCCATTTTGACATTATTTTGCTCCATTCTTTAGCCCTATTTGCAAGCATTTTTGGACTTCAACATAAACTGAAAAAAGTCTTGTTTTGATCTTCTAAACATGTTTGTTTAAGAACTTTTTTTTGTTTGGGGTCATCTTCCCCCTTGTATGCTCCATTTCCTCATGTTTAGGGCTATGCATTAGAGCATTTGCATTAGCCTTGGTTTGGCCTTTTGGCCACTGAAATCCAGTAAATTTTCAGTGGCCAATATGTGTTTTTGAGCTTCAAAATCAGAGAGGGGTGACCCTCTCACCCCTTGTTCTCTTTACTAGCTTTATTGGCCTTCCAAAGGAACTCTATTTTACATGCTTTGAAGTCTTGTTTCAGGCCCTATTATGTGAGTTTTGAGGTCTGCCTTAGCTCTGTCTGGAGCCCCTTTAGCCATATTTTATGTCTATGATGCATGTGTAGAACAATCTCATTCAAGGCCTTTCAAAGGGGCCTTTCATTGCATGCTTCCTAGACTAATTTTAGGGCCTTTTTGGTGAGTTTTAGGGCTGTCATAACTTATTTCCAGAGGTGGTTTTGCCCTTTTGTCTGTCTATCATGTATATGTAGAACAACCCCTCGCATGACTTTCCAAAGGGGCTCATCATTCTTGCATGTATTGACTGAGTTTCAGTGGTTATTTGGGCATATTTTGACATGAAATACTTCTGTTTTTGGCTGGTTGTGTGAACCCTCATATGCTTCATATAGTCGTAGAACAACTCATGGTTCACTAGCTTTCTTTGCATGCTTTATAGGCCATTGATTCTAGCATATTTTGGCTATGCCTTAAACTGATAATGTGCTTATTTTGGACTACCCTAGCTCTGTTTTTGGGTCTTGTGGTCGAATGATGTTAGTTTTGCATGCTTGTAGTTCAAGGTCCATGCTTAGCTTTGAGTTTTGAGATCCATTCCATGCATATACTGAGGTTTGTTCATGTTTTGAGCCTATTATTCATCACATTTCAGAGCTTGTTTGAATGCCATGTTGCCATGTTTTCATCTCTTTAAATGCGTTTGAGAGTCGGCTTGTATACCCCATTTACCGACCATTGAATGAGCTCTATTTCGTTGCATTCCGAGTCATCATTTTAGGTCAATTTCCCACTGTTTCAGACCTGCCTAGGATCTTTTTGGGGTTGGTTTTGCCCAGTGTTGTCAAAGGCGCACCTAGGCGCCAGGCGAGGCGAGGCGCAGCCGGCGCGACTTGAGGAGGCCCAGGCGAGGCGAGGTATAACAGTCGCGCGCCTTGGGTGCGCCTGGAAGAGGCGCAGAGAGGCGCAAGTCGTGCGTCTAGTCAGGCTTCTTCGGTTTGTGCTTAATTCATATCTGACGGCTGAAAATTGTGAAGCTCTTGCCTCCAACACATACGATTACAACTCAGATGCAATACAATACATTTGAAAAGAGAAGAGGACTCAAATCGAACCTGATCGAAGCCCTAATCTGTGTTCTCCTTCGGTGAAGCTCCTTCGACTCCTTCCGATTGGGCTCGTCTCTCTCTCTCTCACCAAGTACTCCTCCTCCTCTTCTTCTTCTCGAACCTCTGTCGAACCCCCTTCGACTCCTCCTTCTTCGAACCTCGATCGTTCTTTTTTTTTTTTTTTCTTCTTCTGCTTCGCTCGTTGGGCTCCTCTTCTTCTTCTGACTGGGCTCTTCTCTGTCGAATCCAAGCTCTGTTTGTTTTTGTTTTTGTTTTTTTTTTCTTCTCCTCTTATTCTGCTAGTTAGCTCTGTTCTATTTTTTGTTTTTATTTTTTCCCTTTGTTTTGACTCTGTCTCTGTTAAAAAATAAATAAAAAATGACATACATGAATTAAATTAAATTAATTAATTAATTCATACATAAATAGATTATACTGAAATAAATAAATTAGATACATTACATAAATTAATTAATTAATTAATTCATACATACATTACATTCATTATGATTATACATACATTACATTACATTCATTATGATTATTACATACATAAATAAATTAATCAATTAATTCATACATACATAAATAAAAAAAATAGATACATTACATTCATTATGATTATACTGAAATTGATTCATCATTATACTGAAATTGTTATAATCATATAATCATAATAATTTTTATTTATGAATTAATTATTTTTTTATTTATGTATGTATGAATTAATTAATTTATTTATTTATGTATGTAATAATCATAATAATTAATTAATTTATGTATCTATTTTTTTTATTTATGTATGTATGAATTAATTAATTATACTGAAATTGTTATTTAATTTAAACATTATACTGAAATTGTTTTTTTTTATTTATTTATGTAATAATCATTATACTGAAATTGTTTTTTTTCTGTTATTTATTTTTTGTGTTGTGTAGTAAGTACTAGAATGTAAAAAATTGTCTTAGTACTATGAATGATTAGTCTATATTAATTTTTCTATTTTTTACGAAGACTGTGCGCCTTACTTCAATAAAGCCCGCGCCTTGCCTTGCGCTTAGGCCCCGAGAGACCTTCAGCGCCTTAATGCGCCTTGAGCCTTTAAAAACACTGGTTTTGCCTTTGGTGCATTGCTTTGGGTACCTCTAGTGTAACGCACTTTACTAGTTTCGGTACCCGGGCCCCCTAGCTTGCATTGTGTGCCATATTTGCACGCTTCGGGACTATATTTCATGCTGTTTCAGAGCTGTAATTTATACTATTCCATGCCATCTGTCATCCCTTGTCATGCTTTGATAGAGTGGCATTTGATGCCTTAGGTTCGGTCCTTGGTATTTGTGCATATGTGCACGCATTTCGGTTGCCTCATTTTCATCTAATGGCCACTGATGTGAGTGTGGCTGAGGTCCACTCATGTTGGTGTAAGTCCATCGTGCATTGTGTATGCCATTTCATAGCATTGCGTATGCTAGGTTGTATGTTAGTCGCATTGTATATGCCATCTCATTTGCATTGTGTTTGGGATAGGAGTTAGCCCGAGCACGGGAAACGAGGGACGTTTCGTACTCCGAGTGACGAAACGTGTCTCAATTCCCTATCGCCGACACTCCAGATTACCCATGATGGAGTTTAGGTCTTGTTGTGTTTATACGTGCATTCATTTCACATCGAGTCATGCAATTCGACTCCTCGGCCATCATGCATCGAGATGCGTGATTGGTGACACGAGGATCGAGGACTACACTCCCTGAAGAATAGTCATGCATACATATGTGAAAATACTTTGTTGTGCCCCTTTCTCGCTCTCTGTTGCAGCAAATCAGAAATCAGCAACTTTCTAAAGCCTTGCACAGCATTCCGGCATTAATTGCAAACAGAGGCGAATCGGGACATCGCAATGAATTTCCGCGCAAGGCAACTTGAGCATGCATCTTTCATCATTCGGAACAGAGCTGAGGGCGGGTCGCATGGATTTCGCAATGCTAATTACTTGCTTTCCTAGTTAAATTGTTGATTAATTAGGTTTTTGTACTTATTCGAACTGTAATTATTATTCAGACTGTATTATTTATTCGGACCCTCCGAGTGAGGGTGCAATTGTAATAAGTGTGCGTGCGTGTGATGTATGTCTTCCAACCCCACGTCTTTCTCCCTTTTATTTACCAACTTATGATTGGTTAATTAGGGTATGTTTCAATTAGCATACTTATTGTACGGGAAAGAAATAAATTTTCTCGTATAATCCTGTTGACAAGTCTGCGCTCCTTCGTACGACGTCGCCTTATCACCTAAAAACACAGAAGGTGAGCTAGCCGGCGGTGTGTGCCGGAAACTCTCCGATGCCTAAGTCAGCAAACTTGACAAATAGACAAAGCTCTGTGAATTTAGAAAGCAAATTGTGTGTTACCTCCTCCAAGGTGATGTTTGTAAGCTTTTATAAGTTTCGTGTGGCACAATCCTAGTAGGACTTCTACTTCTCCATGCAGAGTCCTCCTAGGATTCATACTCCTGAAAGATAATGCTTATCCTTCAACACCCCCTCACTGCTTAAACCAAGTGAGATGTTTTTACCATGGCCGAACTACCACATGACCGAAATAATACTGGCTATGCTGAGCCACAGAGTAGGCCGAACTATCCTTAGTTCGGTTCTTTCTTCTCTACTCCCTATCTCGTTCTTTCATGTACAAACCATGGTATGTTTAGACCGAGCTACCGAGTAGCAAGGTTTACCGTTCTAACCTCAAACGTCATGACCGGACTAACTCTGAGACCGGCCTAACTCCAAGTTGCTTCCGGACCGGAGTACTTTACAATTCTTGGGCCGGAGTACTTATCTCTCTTAGAAGTAACTTTCTCTTGGGCCGGAGTAACTTTTCGGCCTTTTTACCCAGTCCTTCATACTTTGGGTCATAAAGTCCATCTCATAGCTCGGCCCAATTTTCACCAAAATTACCCTCTCACTTATGATAGCATGTTTGCATTCATTCATCTGTCTTGCATGCACTGGCTCGGCGCATCATACTACTGCATTGTATTTCAATTCCGAGTTGAAATTTGTTAGTTGTAGCATTTCACATGCCATCTTTAGAATAGCCGAGCCTACTGTAGTTGCATTCCTGCATGTGTTGCATTAGGCATTTCTGTATTAGTAGGATCAGCATGGATCTCTAACATAGCTTTTTGTTTGGCTTGGAGTACTCGGTAAATTTTATGCTTTAGCATCCTTGCATGCGTGTGAGTGACTGCCATGATAGCATGCTTACCATGAGGCTAATTGCTTATGTGATATACTGTCTGAATGCCTGTGGGTGAAGGTTGTGTTATTGAATTGGAATAATACATTGGCTGTGAGCTTTAAGCCCACTTGAGAGTGGCAAATCATCTTATTTTCTAAGCCCACCCGAGGGTGGCAAATCCAATTTTAGCCTACTTGCGAGTAAACAAACCGTTTTCAAAACAAACATGAGATGTTTGTTCCAATTCAGGCGATCAGTCTATACTTATATGTTGCGCGCATCATATAGTAAATCTAGACTAATAACCGGAATAAGAATGCATAATATTTTCAAAATCCGATATCATGGTTAGTAGAGGCCGATCTTTGATCGGGCGAGCGGGGGTGCTCACGAAGTGACCTTCCCCAATCGTACCCAAGTTCCGAGCCGAGACAATTTTGGTGATGGGACCACGTGACCTTAGACAACGAGTCAGGGTTTTCTTAAATTTCTCAGAAAATAAAATATTTAGGTGGCGACTCTGTATCTGGCAAAGCAATACATGTTTGGCACTTCTTTCAAAAAAAAATCTGTTTTCAAAAACGATTTGCCGGATTTGGACTCTTTGATGATTCATCGGTCTTGCATTGTACTCTGCAAGATTAGATACAGGACCGTGACATTGAGTCCTGAACTGTAGTGAGCCCAATGAACAAAACAAGGGGGGGATTTCCCTCCCGGAACGTTCGGGGACGTCTACACCTATAATAATGAAGGCAAAAGAGACGGGGCTTCTTCATCCATAATGATTTTAGAATTTCAAATAAGCTAAAAAAGTTACGAATTATACCTTAAGAAAATCTCGCTTATTTCGGAGAAATAAACTGAAAAAGTTAAAAAAAAAACTATAATCTAAGATTGCAACCAAACACCATTACTAAACTTATTTTAATCAAATAAGCTAACTAAGTTGACTTATTACAACTTGCATCACAATATTTATGTACTCTCTAAAACACACCTTGTATTTAATAATTTTGGCAAGAGCACTACTGCCTCACACCATGCTCACAATGTCGCTACAATAGACCCCACATGGTACCTTTTTTTGCTAATAAGTAAATAATTGTATTATATACATCAAACAACCTTAAACTAGGGTCTCAAAGAATCCAACAGCCATACAAGCATCTTACAGAAAGTAAGACTGTCAAAAAACATCAAAGTCTTGACCCAGGTTAGGTCTAATATCCCAAGAAATCCAACTATACAAAATAATAACAAAACCACTCTTAAGTCTATGCATAGGTTCCTCGATTCTATAAAATCTCATTGTGTTCACCCCAAATAATCCACATGAGACACAAAAGAGTCAAAGTTATGTCAAGCCAAACATCATAATAAGCTCAATTCTCATAACTCCTTCACCGCCCTAAAATATAAAATGATGTGAGGTCCATTTTCCTTGTCACTCTTGCACGTGCAACTAACTTGACATACATTGTGGGTCTATTTTCTGACAAATTAATTTTTGGACAATTAGTGACCAAACATGGTATCAAAACTCAAGTTAGGAAAAGTCCTGAGTTCAAGTTTCTGTGTCTGCATTTGCTCCCCATTTGCATTGAGCTTCTCTCTATGTATGTCTATTTGCATCTTCACAACCAAATAGGTTGCACGTGAAAGAGGGCGTTGCATAGTTTGATATACATTGTTACACTCATTTCCTAACAGCTTGAACTCTTGGGGAAATTGGTGATCTAACAACAGCACCAATTAATTATGAAATGATTATAATATGTCATCTTCTAAATGCAGAACACATAATGGATTCTTTGGTTGCAGAGAGGTTCTAGTTTCAAACATGATTTTTCCATTATCGAACTGTCAAGACAAAATTTAACAACCAAAATGACAAATAAATTATATCTCTAATTACTATTATGCTCAACAAAAATAGAAGAAAAAGAACAACAAAAAATCTGATTCAAACAAACCCTAGAAAACGAAAATAAAATAAGAACTAAGGTTTGAATGAAACTATGAATACCTGCATCTGACTACCTCGCCTGGTCGCGGTCTCCTCTCTAAGTTCCTTCAGAATCTAAAACACACTTTAAAATCAAATCATTACAACGCATAAACAATACTTACATGTGTGTATATATATATACATTCGAGTACAAAATCGAAAGAAATTCACCTCAGGCTCTCTGACATTGCTCAATAGATAATCATAGAGCCTTGGTGTGACGCTAATGACTCGTTTGTTGCCGTAATTCTCGTCGCCGGCGACGACGGTTGCGTCGGCGCTGTTGTTCGAGTTCTGAGCCCTAAATCGACGATTGAAGGCGGCGATTGGGGAGGAGACATGGACGAGGCGATCAGAGCTTGGAAGGAGAAGATCACGTTGGAGAGAGAATAGAGGGGCGAAGATCAATCTAGGGTATGTTGAACGAGGAAGCAGCGAAGCCGCCATAGATGGACATGTGGGAAGGAAAACGTCTGGACCCGACATTTAATTATCGATAATCGGTCCATTACCGCATATTTTCGGACCCGATATATTACCGTATCAAAAACACTAAAAACTCTAAAAATTTTATTAAAAGTTTTATCAAATATGTCACATGAATATGAAACCCATATGAAACTTATATTGTGTATATTTTACATTCATATAAAATATTTAATAAAATTTTTGATTGAATATTTGAAATCTCTAAAATTCCTCGAACCGTATTACTATGTTATGGGCAGATTTTAGTGCCCCTTCCTTCTTGCACCATATGTTGGAGCGGAGCAAATTACTAGTAATTGGAGAGATAACGAGAGGTCACATGAATATGAAACCCATATGAAACTTATATTGTGTATATTTTACATTCATATAAAATATTTAATAAAATTTTTGATTGAATATTTGAAATCTCTAAAATTCCTCGAACCGTATTACTATGTTATGGGCGGCGGCCGAGGATCCAAATTCCTTGCACCATATGTTGGAGCGGAGCAAATTACTAGTAATTGGAGAGATAACGAGAGTGAACGAGACGGAATGGAATGAATTCAATTTTGTAATTTCAAAAATAAAAATGATAAATAATATTTTCAACCCGTTTGCGAAGTTAGGTTTTAGAATTTTTTTTTTTTTTTAGACTAAAATAGTTGTAAAAAATAAAATAAACCTTTAACTTAATAAAACAAAATATCATATCTAACCCATAATCATTATATTCTTTTTTTCATAAAAGTAAAAAAAAATCAAAAAAATTTTCATAAATGAGACTTTTTAGTTCCAAACTAAAATAATCAAAAAATTAAAAAGTCAATCCCACTTTTCAAACGAACCCTTTATATGGTTAATTTAGAATTCTGCGGAGTCCAAAATCTAAGTGATAAATGAGAAATAATCCTTTTGTTCTGGCCTTTTTATGCTAAGATAAAATCTAAGAAAATTTTTGCATGTCTCAATTTTTTTACTAAATGAATAATTAAGGCCTTGTTTGTCATAACTTAAAAAAGTTAAAAAGTCACTATCCTATTTAAGTTACATTATCTTTTTTAAGTTACATTACATGTCTATCACATCACTTCAAACTTAACTCATACCTAATCCATATTTCATAAAAATTCAAAAAGTACACTTATTTAGATTATTCCAAACCACCACTAAATGTCTCATATGAGTGTAAAATTCACAAAAGTGTAAACCCTCACTCCTATAAGATATTTAATTATTTATTTCATAAAAAATTTAACATCTTTAGTATTAAAAAAAATCTAAGTAAAAAGTATATGTAGGCGGCTTCTTATAAATCTTAAGAAAGAAGAAGCATTCTCAACATTAGAGCCACCAATAATGAATAGTAGCAATCGAGCGGAAGGCTCGTAACATTTGCAACTTGAATAAAATATAGAAAATAAAAATACATAATTTATTTGAATTTTTTTTTTTTTTTTGATGGAACTGGTGAAAACTTTGGAATTACAATGATGCGTCAAGCAACAACAGCTCCTTCAAAGGAGTAGGAGGCGACCCAACCCACCCTAAAGGGAAGAGGTTATAGGTAGTGACTGGTGAGTGTTGGAAGGTGTCCAAAACTCAAAGGAGCTCGCTGGTAGTTGGTTGGCTAGCATTAATAGTGAGAAAAAAGAAAATAGTGATTTTTTTTTAAAAAAAATAAATATATTTTTGAGTAAATTGGTGATAAATTTAATTTAAATAGTGTATATCCGATATATATATATATTTTTTTTTTTGATGAAAGGTCCACCATTTGTGAAATATGTTTTCAATTTTATCCCTTAATTTATCTGTTGAATTTTTTTTATTTGTCGACTTTCATTAACTATCTGTTCAAAAATTTTCCAATCTATTCAAATTTTTTCTTATTTGATGTAAAGTTTTCCCTATTTGTTCAAATTTTTTACCCTTATCTATCCAAATTTTATTATCTATTCAATTTTTTTATTTATCTGTTTAAAACTATCTGTTCAATTTTTTTTATCTATTTAATTTTTTTATCTGTTCAAATTTTAAATATATTTTTATTATTTGTTCAAATTTTATTATCTTTCTCTATCTAGGCAATAAGATCAGTTTTTTCCCCTATTCATTTACGATATACTTTTCAACAACAACAATAACAACAAAACTCCTGAAAATCATCTACAATATTATTTTCTCCATATTAAAAAAATGTATTCATCATCACATCTAGAATTGGAAATCACAAAACCCTAACCTAGAACTGATAAATCTAGTAAAAAATTTTTAATTTGTTTCATCATCATCATCATCAACATCAACAACAACAACAACAACAACAACAATAACTATCTGTTTAAATTTTTCAAACAAAAAAAAAAATTGAGACAAAAATATCAACGGGATGAAAACATTTCAAATACAAGTTCTTAGTATTTTAATACCATAATCAATCATGATAGTGGATAGGCTCAAAAGAAGAAGAAGAAGAAGAAGAATAAGAAAAAAAAAAAAAAAAGATGAAGATAAGCATGCCAAAGAAAGGGCCACGTGGTGATATCACGTGGTTCCTTGGAGGAGAAAGAAATGGTCAGATTAGAGAGAATATGGTTGGAAAGACACCTATATAAGGATGCCTCGGGTAAGAAAAGATGAACAAGGAAAAGAGTAGTCAATCAGTAAAGGAGGATGTTTCGATAAGGGATTAATATAAATGTGGGTTATATTATAGGGATTTTTGGTAAAAAACCCCTCCCATTGGGCCTATTTTGTGTGAAACCCACGAAATAAAACAATGAGCCCAAAAGCCCCTCAATTAAAAAAATATTATGAATTGACTGAAATGTCCTTTCATATAAGTAGGGAAATATGAAACAATCGCACCGTTTTTCTCTCATCGCTCTGTTTCATTGATTGACAACCCTCCTCTGAATATCCTCATTCGAAAACCCTAGCCTCATTCGAAAACCCTGGCATCGATTGAAAACCCTTCTCTGAGTCTCATTACTCTCGCTCTCTAGAGCTATTTTGTCTTTCTACCCCTAGAACATTATAGGTTCGTCGCTTGGGCTCGAATCGAACTCTGCATTATGTTTTACTCTCTCCCTTGGACACATATTTTGCAGGTGATTTTTTTCCCTTTCTGCTAGTTTTTCGATGTTATGAAGTATGTCTAGGTTTGTTTTCATTTTGCGAGTGGTGTATGAGATTACGTTGGCATGGTATGGGGTGGGATTGTAAGGCTACTAAGGATTTTATTTCTTTTTTTTTTCATTGTCGCATTAGGGTGAGTAGAGTTTGGGATTTTGGGTTACACTAAGGATCATCTGTTCTAAAATTTTTATCACTAGCTTAAAATACTTTAAATTACTAAATCATGTGAGAATGTTAAGGTTTAAAAATTTTAAAAACTAATTTAGGTATTTTAGAATGGTGTATGCAGTTTTGCTTCAATTTTGTTGCTTTGATTTCTGTAGTGTTTTGGTCCTGCAATTTCAATGCTTTCAATTTCACTTGCTTCATGAATTTTTTAGAGTAAAATTTTACTTCCAACCAAAGTAAAATTTTACTTTAACTCTAGCCTTTGCTCATTACATAAATGTGCATATCAATTTGTATATATATATATATATGTATCTATTTATTAGGGGTGAGCAGTGGATATACCGATCCGTCAAAACCGACTGAACCGAACCGATCTGCCGCATTTTGGACAGATGCGTAATGATGAGCAGACGGTTGCGGATTGATTTTCTCCAATCCGCCAATCTGGCGGACGGATGGCGGATTTGAAATTCCTTTGGCCGCAACCGAACTGCCAAACCGCGAGCATCTCTAGTAATTTAAAAGACTTTGTGTTTTCAATTTGTTTAAATATTTTGTTTGTGTTTTCAATTAAAAAAGAATTTAAATATTCTGTTGAAAAAAAATTTCAACTTGAATATCTTTTTTGAATTGAAAAAAATAAATGTATTATTTATCTATATTTTTTGGTTTTTAAATCTATCTCTAAAAATAATAAATAGAAAATATGATATATGTTGGTTGATTTTTGTTTTTAAAAATAGATATAGATGTAACAATACAGAAACATACAATCTCTACTACTACTCTGTTCATGGTTTTGGTGGTTTGAATTGTTTTTATATTTTAAGAACCACAGATTGTAATACTTTATGTGGATGAGGTATGCTGTGATTGTAGTATGTGGATAAGACATGCAGTGATTATGATATTCTAAAGTTTCAAACTTTCTTACTTTAGATGAGGCATGCAATGATTGTAATATTTTTTTAAGTCATTGACTGTAATATATATATATATATATATATTTTTTTTTTTTGAGGAAGTGCATAAGTTGAATTATGTTGAAAATTTATAAAATTTTAAACCGCCAACTGATTCGTATCTATCTGCGAAACCGCCAATCCGCTCAATCCACATCCGTCGGATTGGCGGACGGATGCGGATTGATTTTCTCCAATCCGCCAATCTGGCGGACGGATGGCGGATTGGAAGTTCCGTGGCCGCAACTGACCTGCGCCCACCCCTACTATTTATGTATGTAAATGTGATTGTAGTTTCGTCATTTCTCTGATTTCAGTTTGAATATGAATTGTGCATGTTAATTTCAGAATTGTGTTGCATATAGTCAAAATTGAGACAAGGTTTTGTTGATTCTTGGTTCTATAAATTTTGTATGTGTTTTTGGTTTATTTCCTAGGGTATATTGTTCAGAGTAAAATTTAGCTTCCAATCAGAGTAAAATTTTACTTTCAATAAAAGTCAAGTTTTACTGCCAAACAAAGTAAAACTTTATTGTCTCATTACAATGGTTGTGCATTTTGTTTAGTGCTTATTTGTTTTGTCACTTTGTTGTTTAAAGTAAAATGTTACACTGTTGATATAGGAAAACTTTTTACTGTTTTAAAATAGTTGTTACAAGAAGCAAATGTGGTGATGATGATGATGATGATTTTGAAGTTCCACCAACGGCTATACAAAATAAGAAAGTCCTTAAAAAAAAAGCAAAAGTAGTAAAGAAGTTCAGTCCAATGCTAGTGATAATGAAGACTGTAATGAAAGCAATCCAATGCCTTCAACAACAAA